ACCTCAGTCCAAGTGTGTACATTTTTAATATATAAGGCAACACCTCCTCTCTTTTTCCCCGTCTATCCTTCCTGAGCAAGCTGTACCCATCCACACCAACATTCCAATCGTGTATTATCCCACCAAGTTTCAGTGATGCCAACAATGTCATAGTTGTATTTATTTATTAGCATTTCCAGTTCTTCCTGCTTATTACCCTCGCATTTGTATATAGGCATCTAAGATACTGGTTTGATCTTGCCTCCCAGTTTTGCCCTGACCCTCCTTTCTCTCTTGGCCATTATAGCCCACGCTCCCTCTTGTTTCCGACCCATCTCCTAGGTCTCCATGTTTCCCACTTACCGGTGGGCTTTGCTCACCTGTCCCCGTCGAACCTAGTTTAAAGCCCTCCTCACTAGGTTAGCCAGTCTGTGTCCAAATAGGGTCTTTCCCCTCCTCAAAAGGTGAACGCCATCTCTGCCTAGCAGTCCTTCCTCGAATAGCATCCCGTGGTCGAGGAAGCCAAAGCCCTCCTGGCGACACCATCTTCGCAGCCAGGCATTCACCTCCATGATGCATTTGTCTCTGCCCGGGCCCCTACCTTTGACAGGAAGAATCGAAGAGAATACCACCTGCTCTCCAAACTCCTTCACCCGTACTCCCAGAGCCCTGTAGTCACTCTTGATCCGCTCATTGTCACACCTCGCAGTATCATTTGTGCCTACGTGTATGAGTAGCATGGGGTAGTAGTCAGAGGGCTGGATAATCCTCGACAATGCCTCCGTAACGTTTCGGATACGGGCCCCCGGCAGGCAGCATACCTCCCGAGATGAAATGTCAGGGCGACAGATGGGCGCCTCCGTCCCCCTCAGCAGAGAGTCTCCGACCACCACTACCCTACGTTTCCTATTCGCAGTGGTGGCAGCAGACCTCCCAGCCTTAGGGGTATGAGGCTTCTCCTCCTTTACTGTAGGGGATGATTTCTTCTCTCCTGTATCAAGAAGAGCATAACAGTTACCTATTACCACGGCGGGAGGGTTCGGAGCAGGGGTGGAGCACTGCCTGCTGCCAGAAGTAACCAGCTGCCAGTGTCCACCCTGAACCATCTCCTCCTCCACCAGTGGTGTATCAGCAGTCCTGTGTACTGGGACAGCTATCTCATATCTTGAAATGTAACATTCCATCTTGATTTGAGCAACCTGGCAGCATTGCATGTTGGAACCTAGTGTCTCTGTAGGCCACACCGCTGTGTTGAAGAGGGAAGTCACATGCTCTGTTGTAGAATTTCTTGTAGCCTGCTGGTTACACTTTGACCAAACCTCCTATAAAATGAAGTTGCTTGGCTTTTGAAGCTCCTTTTTTTCCCCCCTCATGAGAGGAGGTGATTTATTTTTTACCTGTCTGACATGAACCTTAGTTTACTCTTGCACAGTATGCAGTCTGAACATCTGCTTATGAGTTTATAAATGTACCCTCCTCCCCCCCTATTCTGTAAAGCATTTTGGATGAAAGTGTAAATATAATGGTAAATACCAGCTGCTGCTCTTTCTGCTACAGCAATTCCATTTTCAAAAACAACAACTTCCCAGAATGGATTAGAAATTTGGTTGACAAACAAGGAACAAAAAGTAAGGTTTGATCTGAGAAAGATGACCAACAACCACCGTCTGTAGCACAATTAAAAAAAAAAAAAATCTTTGAGATACTGTTTCAGTGGTACCTCACACCAGTCAGGTTAAAATATATAGAGAGGTTAAAGGGGATAAATGTTGGTGAAATTGTGGTGAAAGAGGAGATTGTATGCATATATGGTGGACATGTCTAGTCATTAGAGAGTATTGGGATGCAGTCAATAACCAAATATCAAAAATGGTTAGATATTTATTATGAAATGATCCTTTGGTGATCCTCCTGGCACTTCCAGTGGAAATGGTCACTCAAAAGGAAATGAATGAATCTCTCATCTGCTAGTAGTTGCTTGCCTATTAGCATCTCACTGGAAAAAGATAAATAGCAAAATATATATGGCAGGTTGTGGTTATGGAAGAATTAACACACCAATTATGTACCCAGCAAAATGGACAGATAGTTACTTAGATATTTGGTTACCTTTTACATCAGAGAAAGTACATCACCTGCAAAAAACAACCAAACAACCCCTCTCCTCCCACACCTTCCGCACACACATCCACCACACCTGTCCAATTTTTTTTTTTAATAATATTTGGTAGACATACCTGGTCTGTTAAGTATGTGTATATTGAGATTTCACTCAAATTAATAAAATTGACATAGATGTTGTAATGATGCTCACTGTGTAATGTGGTAGCACCCTGTTACATAGAAAGATCAGATTACTTTATTCCCATATAATGTCTCTTTAAACAAATGCTAACTGTTGTAATGATAGTTTTTGGTTTCTGGGCTGCCACCTTGATGTGGTGGAGAAGCTTGTATATCCTTAAGACCCTAAGAGCAATGCCGTTGGGAGTCCTGTACTCCTGGTAGGGTCACCCATGGCGGTTAGGTCGAAGGCGAGGTACCAAACAAAGTGCAGCCCAGCCCAACACAACACAACCTAGTATAAGACCTCAACGGCAGAGCAGGCGGATGAAGCAGGATCACTTCTCAACGGCTGCAAAAGTGGACAAAGGCTGCAACGGAGGAGAAACCCCCGGTCGTATTGGACCTCCTTGTCGCTGGACCCAGGCGCCTCTTCTGCCAAGATTTGTGTGGCTGCTGATGCGAAACGGATCCCCGACATTAAATTACTCACACACAGGCTTCTCTCACAGGAAGAACTTTTTTTCACACCTCCACCCATAAAAATTCTGTGGCGATGGACGAGTGGTGACAGGGACAGGTGAAGTGATCACAAGGAGTCCCTATTCACAGACCTACACGCACGCGGTGACCGCAAGCTGGTCGCCATGTGCCCCTGGACTGAGATGGGGGCCATTATTAGCAGCAGCAATCACGACTGAGCAGGCCTTTTTAGGAACCCCTCTGTTCACTCCATATGGGGAACGGGCTAGAAAAGGTGCCCCAGACAAAGGCTTTTCCACCATACCCGACGGGATAACTGTGTCCAGAGGGATCACTCCCAATGCGGTCGAAAAATGAAAATGTTTCTTGCCACTTGGAATGTCCGTACTCTCCTAGATGAATCAAAACGTGAAAATACCCAAACACAGAACTGCAATTGTCGCCCAAGACCTCTCGAGGTACCACATTGACATCGCTGCTCTCAGTGAGACAAGACGTGTAGGTGAAGGCCACTTGAGGGAAGGGGGCAACGGTTACACTTTCTTCTGGAAAGGAAAACCAGCAAGCCACAGGCGAATACACGGTGTTGGCTTTGCAATCAAGAACCTTCTAGTCAACCGCCTGACTGAGTTCCCTGTCAGCATCAACGAATGCCTCCAATTGGCCAATAAGTCATTTGCTACCATTATCAGTGCAAATGTGCAAAGCACGACCTTGTGATCACAAACACAATCTTCAGACAGCAACAAGTAAAAAACAACTTGGTAACACCCCGTTCAAAACAATGGCACCTCCTTGACTATGTCATTGTAAGAAAATAGGATCTAAGAGATGTCCTAATCACCGATGTCATGAGAGGAGCTGATGATTGCTGGACTGACCACTGCCTGGTGAGATCAGTTATGTCTATCTGGATTGCACCAAAACATAGAAAGCAATCCAAATCATACAGATGGCAATAAAACATCCAAAGATTGCAGTCCTCAGTGCATCAAGAGAACTTCCAAACACTCCTCAGGGGAAAAATGACCATATGCACACCTGGAAATGACAACACAAGTGTCAAAGACTGGGAAGCCCTAAAATAGGCCATCCATGAGGCTTGTGAGGAATCTATCGGCTTTGCTACCTGCCGCTATCGGGACTGGTTTTACAATGACAACATTGAGATCACAGCCCTTTTGGAGTGAGAAGAGAAAAGCTTTCTGTGACTGGCAAAACCATTCATCATCTAGTCAGAAGCAGAGCTCTTTCCATCAACTCAAAGCTGAAGTTCAAAGGAGGATCTGAGAAATCAAAAACAAATGAGGGGGAGGGGATAGCTCAATGGTTTTAGCATTGGCCTGCTAAACCCAGGATTGTGAGTTCAATCCTTGAGGGGGCCATTTAGGGATCTGGGGAAAAAATCTGTCTGGGGTTTGGTCCTGCTTGGAGCAGGGGGGTTGGACTAGATGACTTCCTGAGGTCCCTTCCAACCCTGATATTCTATGGTGGGAGGACAAAGCAAAAGAAATCCAAGCATTTGCTGAAAGACATGATATGCCGAGCATTTTTTGTGAGACAAAGACTCTGTATGGCCCAAGCTCATGTGGCCTCACACTGCTGAGATCCAGAGATGGTAGTACCCTTCTTAAAGATAACGAATCCATCAAAGAGCGCTGGAAGGAACACTACCAAAAGCTTTTAAATCAAGAATCAACTGTGACTGATGACATCATCGACTCCATCCCTCAGCACCAATTTGGGAAACTCTTGCCAACCCACCAACACCTGAGGAGGTCTGCAAAGCAGTTAAATGAATGAAGAACAATAAAGCACCAGGTCCTGATGGCATAACAGCCAAAGTACTGAAAGTGGGGGGAGAAACACTGACTAACAAGCTTCATTTGCTGCTCCTCAAAATCTGGTGCACCGAACAAATCCCTGCTGACTTACGTAATGCTAACATAGTCACCATTTTCAAAAAGGGAGACAAGGCCAACTGTGGCAACTAATGAGGCATTGCCCTTCTCTCCATCGCTGGGAAGAGTCTTGCTAGATTCTTACTGAATTGCCTACTCCTTCTTGTTTCTCTGGAGCTTACAAAAGCCTAGGGCCAATCTGAACACCAGCAAAACAAAAGTTGACCACCAGCCCACTCCCGGTCAATCATCAGACCCAGCAAGGAAGATCTTCATTGACAAAGAAGAACTGGAAAATATAGAATACTTTGCCTATCTTGGCAGCCATCTGTCACAGAGGGCAGACATAGATGTCAAGATTCAGCACAGAATCCGCTGCACCAGCCTTGCATACTGTCTTGGAGATGTTCAACAATCACAACATCAGAACACACCACTAGACTTTTAGTTTAAAAAGTGGTGGTAATCCCAAATCTCTTCTATGGCTGTGTGACTTGGGTGACCTGTAGAAAACACCTGAAAAACCTGGAACGTCAGCACCAGAACTTTGTTCGCAAGATCCTCAACATAAAGTGTGAGGATTGCCACACTAATGCCAGTGTCCTTACAGAGGCCAACATCTTCAGTGTTGAGACCCTGATTATCCAGCACCAACTGTGTGTGCACGCCTGATGTACGCTTACCAGAACAGCTGTTGTACGCCCAACTCACCAAAGGAGAAAGGAAATGGGAGGCCAAAAGATATGCTTTAAAGACATCCTTGAGATAAACAAACATCAAGAGATGTGGCATCGATACCACATACTGGGAGACAGTAGCCCAGGACAGGGATAACTGGCAAACACTTGTCAGAAAGGGAACGTCCATTTTTAAGGAAAATCGCCTTGCCCTGGTCACAGAACAACACCAGAAAAGAAAAGACAGATAACTGACACGTAGCGATCACGGCCCAACCCTGACATCCAACACCACCTGCAACGTCTGCTAGCAAGCCTGTGGCTCAAGTTTCAGACTCCTCAGTCACCAAAGGACCGATTAAAAAATAAACACCTGTGAAAGAGATCATCCTCGACCTCGAGGGATCACTGACAACAATATGACAAGAATATGTAAACTTGTTAAAACTTCCTAAATAGATAGTGAAAAAATATATATAAAAATTACAATTTTTAAGAATAAAAAAGAAAATAAATTTGGTTGACAAAACAAGGAACAGAGACTAATTGTTACTGTCAAGACCTCCAAATACTGGAATTTGAAGTATCTGGAGACTTGAGTTTTTTCATTTGATCTGAGTAGAAATAAACTTTTTAATGTTTCTAAATTGGATTATTCCCACTTCTTCTCTGTTTGTCAAAATTGTCTCTCTCTTTCCATGGGAGAAGTGAGCAGGACTGTTTAGTATTGAGGAGCAGAAACTACAAAATTGGCTCTGTTTCACCTTTTTCCATTTCTGGTGGAGTTGTGCAGGGTGGTGAATGGATTAGTTACAGAACTACATACTGAACTAGCGGTTAGAGATGGACAAAACTTGTTGGATCATCCATTTTCTTCTCTCCAATGCAGGATTGTTCCTCAATGGCCAAAGCACTAGAACTGTGGTTTCCAAACTGGAGTTCGTGAAATGTTACAGGGGGTTCTCGGGGAAAAAATTCCCTAATGGCGGACAGAGCTGTCCCTAGGGACCCTGGGCAGCTCGGGGCCACCACACGGAGCCCCTGGACTTCCAAGAGCTAAGCAGATCAAAGCAAGCATATCTATCACACTGAGGAGATTTAAACTTCAAGACTCCTTATAAGAAATGGAAAGGGAGGTGGATATTTTTTGCTGTTTTTAAAATTAAATGGGCAGCTAGTATTGTTTTTAAAATTATTATGAAGAACAAGTTTAAGCTTTGTTGTAACGTGCCTTGTTTGCCTGGACTCCTCAAGACCTGAATGCTTGTGTAGGAGGAACTCTGAGTTGGCTTCTTAAGTACCTTCATGCTGTTTCACATCTGATACTCCTTGATGAAACATAGGAGCCTTGTCTTATAACAGGCTTATTCAAAGTGATACAAGCTATGAAAGTGAGATCTTGGAAGAGTGTTGCCATTTTCATAACATAATAAAAATACTGTAACGATAAATAATTAATACTAAATAGTGTGTAATAAGCATGTCATAAAAACAAATTTTATATTTCCAAGATCACTGCTTTTATAATTTATACTCAGGTAAAGGAGAAAATCACTGGAAATATTCATTTTTAGGAGGGGGTTTGTGAGACTTGACATTTTAGTGAAAGGGGTTCACAGGTTGTTAAAGTTTGGGAACTACTGCACTAGAAGAATCTATCTAATATCAGATGATTAGCAGATTAGTTAGTTCTGTGTTTGAAAAGGAATATGTTTTCATCTGACTAAGCCTGCTTGTTGTAACTGTTTAGCAGCTATCTGGAGATGTTGGCTCTAAATGTTTAATAACTTCCCAGTGAGGGAATGTGTATCTTCTTCAATGACTTCCCCCCCTGTGGTTCACTTTATCATCATAGATAATATGATTATATATGAATGTTATAAATATGTCAGTGGACAGTAGTTTTGGTTCACAACTTAGGAACCTTTGTATGACTTTCCCTGCCTCCCTTGGAATTTCATAGGTATATGAATATCAGAGATTAAATTGTTAGCTGATACATTAATGACTTAAGTACTTTATATTGTTTCAACTGTAAAAGGGAAACTTTAAGTCTGGAGAACAAATGGTTACTAAGTCAGTCTCTTAAGGCTGCTGTCGTAGAATCTGTAAAGATATCAGGATATTAATAAATATATTTTCAGTATGTTCTGAAGTGTTGCTGTCAGACTGTTTGTATTAGAGATAGGTGTCATTCAAGTGCTGTGTAGTTTTATCATCTGAGCTGCCCAGTTTCTGTCACATTTCACTTCTGTTTTCTCTCTGGGTTTGTGACAGTCATTTCATCCTACAACAGAGGAGAGAAAAAAATGGACTCCTCTGCCTAGTGTGGAACTAGTTGACTTCAGAACAAGACGAGGCTTTCTCTGTCCTGAATCTTCCCTAGTATTGGATCTAGTGAGTGCAGTGTCTGTTAATTGGACAGCATATGCCATCTGTTAACTGTCATGCACCTGTGGAGCCGTTCCGCAGCATTGGGTAAACATTGTTAAGGATTGTACAAATATAAAATTGCTTGGCTTTTTGGCCAATATCACCCAAAGTGTTCACAAGGCAATTCTCTGATAATGTGTCCTCACTGAACTTTGTGGATATTACAGCAAAATGACCCAGATATCTAGGAGGAATGTTACCTGCAGTATATTGAAATTTCTTACTCATGATCTGTGTAACTTTAAATGATGTTCCTTGCATGAATTGATAAATAAATCATTTAAAAGCTCTTCAAATTGTCTTAATTGAAAATGTAGGTTGCTTTTTTTTTGAGCACTTCATCTCTTTTTTTCTCATAGGTGAGAGCATTCTAGTGTGCAAGTCCTCTGAGAGATCGAAAGGCATTGCTCTGCTTCAGGGATCACTCAAGCCTGTCCACAGCTGTTTGTTCAGAGGAAAGGGGGAAGGGGTTACATCTAGCATGATACGAGCAATCCTGGAGGTATGGGACACATGGAAAGGGACTAGAACTTTGTTTGTTACGTTATTCCACATAAGTTTAGGATGACTGCTTATGTGACACTGCTAAACATACTTCACACCCATTCTTCTTCTCCTTCCCCATTACTTCAACCCAGACAGCTTCACATGAAAGTAATACATATCCATTTCAGTCTGTACTTGTAGCTGCAATATAAAGATGCAGCTG